CTTGAAAAAATCAACCAAAATTTTAGTTCATGCACTATCCTGTTTACCTCTATCAACAAATAAGTATGCCAATGCAAAGCCTGCCTTATCATATTGACTGATTATTGAATAAAGCTCATGTCCTAATTTATTAGTTTTATAGGTTGCATCTACAAAAATTTCTTGATTTTTTTTTAAATTGTTCAAAAAATGGTGTGACAAAACCTAAAAAACTAATTTTATTAATATTATACATAATGATTTTATATTTATATTCTTCTAAAAGAATTTTTGATGATTTTATTTGATCAATATTTCAAATAAAATTTTTTTTAATAAATGTTGTCCACCATGCGTGAATTTGCTTTTGTGTTATTTCAGGATAATTATGCTCTATTCTTCTATAAATATCGCTTGGCATTAAATGAAGGTTGGCTTTAATTTCATTTTTAATTTCTTCAGTAACTCTATTTCTTTCAGGTCATTTGTGAAGAATCTCATGTTTAAGGTAAATAAATGCATAATTATCTATCATATTTATAGAAATTCTAAGTATTCTACTACAATCAAAGCATTCAATTGATTCATGATCTCTTTGACATTTAGAATCTTAATACTTGCAAGGTTTTTTGGCTAAACTTCGACATCGAGAACATTGATATTGAAATGTATATAGATCATTATTTTTTTTTGAACTATAATAATTGAAATAAATATAATAATAGCCATTGCTATCACTTATCAAATTTGCAATTTTTTTTGCAATTTCTTGAGATATATTATCTTTGTCTTTAAATCCATCTAATACAATATTTGATTTAAAATTAATTCTATTCAATTCATTTTCAAAAAATTCATCAGATCCAACTAGTGAAATTTTATTAAAAATTTCTTCAGCCATTTTTTCAAGAAGTAATACTTTATTTTTATCATATTCAATTAAAGCTTTATAATAAACTGAAGATTGTTGGTAACAAGATTTACAAAATTTTAAAGTAAAGTTTTTTTTGATAAATTGATTTATAGGCAAAAACTTTCAGCATTTTGTACATTTTTTTAAT